TACGAGTTATCAGATTTCAATAGAGGGTTAGAACTCGAGGAATCTGGCTAAGAGCAAACTGCCATATTGAAAATAATGCGGTGACGCACGGAACTGAATAAAAAAACCCACACCATTCTGTTAATGATTGCTTTCGTCCATCGGCTGACGTCGACAGGATTTTGCCTGGAAGCCATGTCTTGTTAAAGCGATATTATGAAAGTATTTTTGCGCCAAATTTTTTTTAGATATGAATAATTCAAATTTTTCTCATCTAGATTGTAATTTTCAAATTTTCAACATATTAGCGTCGCTATTTCGCTTTTCCGGCAACTCAGTACAGCGCAAGAATAAGTCGTGCTAGGCCCGCTGTATTTTTAGTAGGCTCCTAAAAATAACGTAAACAAAAAGCGTTTTTCGTTAGGGTATGTTCGGCAGCTTCAACACGTTTTGCGGCGCAACGACTTTAAACTTTTACTCCCCAAATGTCATTATGAACCCAGGTAGCCTTATAGCGCAAGAAAATGCGGAAAACAACGATATTTGGAATAGTGAAAATCTTATACAATATCACTTTAAGCTTGAGTCAGTTTCCGATGGTGTCTAGGTAGATACGGTGGGAAGAGGGCCAAGGCACAAGACTAGATTCAAGGCTAGGCAGGGTTCAATTAAATGCAACGAAGACCAGAAACACACAGAAACATAGTCAATAGAAGTTCTCCCTACAACACTTCTTATGTGCGTTCCCAGGTAGAATATGTTCTTTGGCAATCATCTTTAAATTTGTTCTTATTTCAGCCTTGTTACCAAACCTATTATAGCTCCCTAGTCCTACATTTGCAGAGAGGATGTAGGACTCGGGAGCTATTATAGGTTTGGTGACCAGGCTATTATATTTTGAAAAGACAGTTTTGTAGTGATTGATTTCAAATTGCTAGCAACAGTCTTCGCACAAAAGCGTTATACAAATCCGAACAAAAACAGGTTTGTGGTAATTAGTTCGGTAATTGAAGCGACATTTGCTCGTCTTGCTGAAGGTTATCTCTTACTTTAAAGTTAACAAAAAGCCACGTCTTGGTCATTTATTCTGTAAATTGGACGCACGACCTATTTCAAAATACCTGCCTTCCGGGAAAATATTGAATGGCTTTTTTTCTGACAAATCAGCCCAATTAGCTTGGATCTAGGCAGGTTTTACCGCAGGTCTTAGAAATAGTAGCCGAGAGCCTTTTCGTCCCACGACACCTCATTTATTCCTAGCATTAACAGCAGGAGTCAGTATTCAGGGGTGGATCCGTAAGGAGGACTAAACCTCGTCCTCTGTGGCTTGACCAGAAACCTAGAGTGGGTGTCACTGGAAATAAAAAATGTCCAGACTATGCATGATGTACAAAATGACTAATAAACTGGTGGCCGTACCAACTACTAAGTAGCTTATACCAGCCCAGAAGAGAACAACAAATAGCCATGCCTTCAAGTACCAGAGTTAACCAAGGATTGAGGTCTTCAAAAATTCATTTTTCCTAGAACTATCGCAGAGTTGAACTCGCTGTCACCACAGTACAGTAGGGGCACTATCATTAGATAGCTTTAAACAATGTTTAGAGTTAGATGTTCAGGGGTTAGGTGTAACACGTCATTCGGTGTGATATAGCCAGCTGCCGCAAACCTGAGTTTATTTAGACCATGAAAAACACACATTGGAAGGTGTCCAATAAGTCCAATGTTCCTGAATTGTATACGGCGAAACGTGTCTATCCCGGTCTAAACAAACTCATCCTGACCTATGACCCCTCCAATAGCCTTAGACTACAGCCAAAAAAAAAACAGTTCCACCGTGCAGCTCAAACAAGGCTAAATAACAGCCACCAAAGTAAAAATACCTCCCAGCAGAAAAATACCAACATTCATCAACATACACGAAGAACAAGACACAGTTTACAGTTGGTTTGGATGCGTGAATTACTAAACCCATGCCCTGTACCATTACATTGACAGGATGTACGTAGGAGGGCGTTTTGATCCACACTAATTATATACGTACTAATGACGCCGTTTTCAGCTCGTGGCAAAGAAAGGGTCCGCCACGAAGCAAGTCGTGATGCCAGTACCGGTCTCAACAAGCCGTTCCTACTAAAGGTTGAACTAGAAAGGGGGACTGAGCAATCTAGATCCGACCAGAAATGGATGATAGCTACCCGGTAAGGCCACACCAAGTAAATTTTATGGATGACGTCCTCGAGCGCATTGATTTTGGCCTGTTCCTAGAAAAAAAAACCCAAGAAATTCCGCTTCCTGTAACTATGACCAAAGAGTCACAACAGTGCTGCAAATAGGTTTGTACGGACCAAAGCTTATGAAGCATCAAGCAAGGAAATCATGACTTCCTTTAGGAATTCAGTTTGGTACATGCTGCCACATTTTAAGAAACTTGCTGTCTGCTCCATCTATCTCCCCAAAGCACTGGACGACAACTGCTGTTCCACCTGATTTATTGCTGTTTTGATGATGAATAAAAGACTTCTTGCTTGTTAATCTGTGTCACCTCATTCAATTTGTGTCCTAACATTTGACGTCTCTTAGTATATTTCTAATCTAGGCATCTTGTTTTTTAGGGCCCTGCTTGTTTTTTTTTCGCCCTCTCGCATTAGATTTAGGGTCTCCAAAGGACGTCATCCATAAAATTTACTTGGTGTGGCCTAAGCTACAGAAACACTTGTCACAGGGTTGCCGTTACAAATCGGATGGCACCTAGGCTAACAGAAACAAATATTTGGAAGAAATTAATGAATGAATGAAGACCATTATTGTACACACATACCCACTGGGTTAAGTACAGGTCACAAAAAGGATGGAATATAGATAACGTTACATATATACATCGTGAAGTAGCTACAATGAAGTAAATTAGGCCTCTTCTCGGTTCTTAGTAATGGCAAAAATGTAAGAATAGATATGATTCAATTCAGGTTTGTCTAAGCTCATTAGAAATATGAATTTATCTGTACAGCTTAGATGTATGAAGAAGGGGAACATAGATTGTATCAGATTATAAAGATCTACTCCCTCTTTGTGGTATAGTTTACATTCATACCAGACTATACCCAGTATAGAATATATTTGACATATCGTAAAATGAATAAGACGTGGTGTTGCATATGATCTTTCGGCCGCCCTATGGATTGCTCTAAGATCAACTCAAGGACTTTTAACACTGTCAAAATCCCTCTTCATCCTGGCATATAGACGTATACATATACATAGAAAGGTGAATAACCTCCATATGCATATGATGACAAGCGAAATGTACATGTAGTGGAGATAAAGGTCTGGCTTATCGTCGACCTCCTTCCGTTTCATTAGACGATGGGTTTTGATCCGGCATCATCTTCTGGCTTTAAGTTAAGCCTCCCGAACACTGCCGAACTCCTCCCAACCATGATTAGGAGTCGGGAGCAAGGTCGGCTGTCGGTCGGCTGGTGTTCGGCTAGGTCGGCTACTGTTCGGCTGCGCCAGCCGAATGTTTGAAAACGTTAAAAACATACAGATGTGGACGGGAGGTTCGGACATGGTTGTCTGGTGGTCGGAAGTAGATCAGTAGTGTTCTGCGTGTTTGGGGGACAGTCTTTTTTTAATTCGGGAACAAGGTCGGCTGTGGTTGGCTGGTGTTCGGCGAGGTCGGCTAGTGTTCGCCTATGCGCCACCCGAACGATTCGGTCGTTTGTATACATACGCAACCAGACCCTTGGGATTAATATAACTTTCCAATTAATTCTGCAAATGAGGCACTTAAAATGTTAAAATGGGACTATAAGTTAAAATGGGGGCATGTCCGATACAAAGAAGTCAGCGGATGTGCCTCTCCCTTAGCGACTAGACAGCACTATAGGGGAGTTTTACACAAGGGTGTAGACAGGTACCCAGAGGACACCATCAGCAGTAACGAGGTTAGAAACTAGTCCAGTAAACAATGTTGGTTCTACACAAGGGCCCATCGGCACTACCGCCCCCTATGCTCGCATATCCGGTGCAGTGACGCAGGGTCTACGCTAATTTCCTATGGGGGGCTGCGAAGAATTAGGACAAAATCTTCGGCTAGACTTTGTAATTGTGAAACGGCCGGATGTATCCATCCGCGCTGTGTGATTCGCCCATTGTTGGTCATCAGGGATTGGGAAATCTCATGTGGATGATTTAGAAAGAAGTTTTCCGATTTTTTAAATTCTGTTAATAAATTCATAGAACTTTTTTCATTCACTTTTACATTGCATTCACATTTATATTGTACAACAACCCAATGGACTAACCCCCTGCTGTAGTGACTGCACAAAGTGGTGTGGCCCAAGGGCTGCAGAAACAGAGATAGGTGCCGCCATATGCACCTGGTATGTGGGGAGAAGACTTTTGAAAAATTATATTGCAGATGGATATTATCTGCTGCTGGTACAATTTTACGCTTATAGGTATATCTCATATTCTGTTAACTGTCTAAAAACCAATTTCCTAGACCCCCCTCCCTATTGCATTGCTGTGGGTCGGACGGTAAGTACACCGCCTAAGGCCACACCAAGTAATGTTTATGGATGACGTCCTCTGGAGACCCTAAATCTAATGCGAGAGCGCGAAAAAACAAGAAGGGTCGAAAAACAGGATGCCTAGATTTGAAATATACTAAGGGACGACAAATGTTAAGACACAAAGTGAATGCATATGCATGAGAGAACGTAACAACCACGTCTTTTATTCGTCATGAAAACAGCAATATTATCAGTGGAACAGTTGTCGTCCTGTTCTGCTTCTTTCCTTCATCACATCTTCCAATCTTGCGATTTGTGGCACTGTCGTGGCTCTCTGGTCATAGTTACGGGAAGCGTTTTTTTTCCGGGAACATGCATGTCAAAATCAATGTGCGCGCGGACGTCATCCATAGAAATTCACTTGGTGTGGCCTAATAGTCTATTGCAGGGTTAGCGTGGATTAATGAGGGACGACATCCCTTCCTGTCGCGCGGCGGATGTGAATGCACATAGCCATTACGCTAATACGTACGTAGGAAAACAGGACCCTGACATTTCCGTCTATTTACTTACAGTTGATGAATGCGCCGGGTGCCATTTGTGTGCAATCAGCGGGAGTTAGTTATGCCTTCACGCGCCTCGGCGGCTATTTGGACATGTGGAAGTCTGAAAGCGTGAGGATTTGGCACCAGTCTGTCCGCTGTTTGCATGCACAGTCACTCGCGGGGGAAGCGTAATCAAGAAAAATCCACCTGACGAAAGAAAAAGACCGCCCCTGCACTTAAAGGGATTGACTCGGGCGTTTTACTTCAGCCACAACACAGACAACCGTAGACGCTGCTGGAAGAAGAATCTACGAGAAGGGGAGAACCTTCCAGAATCTAAAGATTTAAGAGGACTTGTAGGGCCTAGGAGAGTATTTTTCGTTGACTAGAGGAGCAGAATAAAAGTCCTACACCGATGGAAAACGTCACCGTACCCGAGACGTACCCCATGCCTGTGACGGTAGTGGTGAGTATGGTTGTTGTAGTCATCATAGCCTTTATTGTAGCGGGAAACGTGCTGGTCTTCGTGGCGTGTTTCACATCCGCGAGTCTGAAAACCATCCAGAACCGTTTCCTCCTGTCTCTGGCCGCCAGCGACCTTCTCGTGGCGGGCACCATCATGCCGTTCACGCTGGTGAAGGAACTGTTAGGGTACTGGAGTTTCGGACAGATTTGGTGCGAAGGCTGGCTAGCTCTGGACGTTCTGGCGTGTACTGCCTCCATCTGTAACCTGTGTATGATCAGCTTTGATCGGTACTGGTCGGTGGTGGACATCCAGTACGCCCGGACCAGGAGCGCGAAGCGTGTAGGGGGGATGATCGCCGCCGTGTGGGTCATCGCGTCGGCGGTAAGCGTCCCCCCGCTCATCGGGTGGCGCGACCCGAAAGAACACCTGGGCCCATACCCCGTCTGCAACCTGCGCAAGCTGCCCGAGTACGTCCTGTTCTCCGTCTCCGCGTCCTTCTACATCCCGCTGGTCGTCCTCATCGTCGTCTACTCCCGCATCCTGTACCTGACCAGAAAACAGTTCCGCAAGTCTCTGTTTCTCACCTCCTCGCCGAGAGCGACGTGCGCCTCGAAGACAACCCCGTCCCAGATCACCAGGACTCTGGACGACCCTCTCAGTCCCTCGCCGATCGTGAGTCACAGAATCGCGGCAAGGGTTCTAAACGACACGGGAAAAAACAACCGGACGTTCCCCAACATCAAAGTACAGCTTCCCTCCTCCGTGGCGAAAAACAACGTCTCCGTCGAGGTGGCCACGCAGGACACACGCGATCGCAACGGCGAGCACAAAAGCGTGGTACAGACCAGTCGGGCGACGCTGAGCCCGCCGCCGCAGTTTGAAGTCAAAACAGAGACCAGCGGACCGTGTGTGTTCACCGGCGACTTGGCCAAGACCATCACCCCCCTCCCCACGCCGGACACCAGCCCGCGCAGCGCCGGTAGCAACAGGAGCATCTGCCAGGCCATCCAGCAGAAAACCTGCAACAGGAAGGAGCGACGGGTGACGAGAATCATCGGCATGGTCATGACGGCGTTTGTGGTGTGCTGGTTCCCGTTTTTCGTCTGCTACCCCGTCATGGTGCTGTGTAAAGACTGCCACTTCCCCGAGTGGGCATTTGATATCGTGTTCTGGTTAGGGTACTGTAACAGTGGACTGAATCCTGTCATTTATACCGTCTTTAATGAAGATTTCCGCAAAGCGTTTAAGAAGATACTGTGTAGGTGGAGGACAACAAGACGCTAGCTGTCTTACGCGTTGAGTATATATCATTCATATTGCTGTGTTTTCTCAGCCAGTATTATCACTGTCTTCATACGATCAGTAGCTAAAAAATATGAACAATTAAATTGTCTTTTTTGGTGATCATTTTTTATCAAAGTTGTAAACTCAGAAGTAAAGTATAAAATCTGTGCTTTTGGGATTAGAAATAAGTATGTACAAATTGGATCAGAGTGTGGTACTGTAAAGTTAGTTCTTGCTATCATTTTATTGTAATGTATACGTACGCCAAATGGCAAAATTTACTTGTGTTCCTTTTGCAAATGTGTGTGATATAATCGCGGCAATTGTGAGCTATCTATTAAGATTTCAAAAAGTGTTTGTTTCGTTCAAATCAAACAAATACTGTGAAAACTATTCAGTATGTGTTGCGTCGTCCTTGGTGCTGAACGCCCGGTTATTGTGTATAGTGAATGCTATCCAGTGAGATAGCAACAGATTACAATTACTACTAACGCATGCATATCTATCAAGATGTACCACAATCTGTGGAAGGGCGGGCATAACAAGGGACATTTTCAAGATGTCAAACCTGAGACCAGGCTGTAAGGTTTGAATCACTCACACTGGGACGAAAACAGCTCTTTTCGATGTTTGGTGTGTGGGGAGGGGGGGGGGTCTTTAACGTGCTCAAGGTGTGGCTCTCCAGCTTTACGTCCCATCCTAGACGTCCCTAACCGAAGCTAGGTAATCGTTTTAACCGGAGCCATAGGTCTTTAAAAGCGCCTTTCGCAAGCGCACAATTCCTGCTAGGGATTCAAACCCAGAACCTTCGGGTTCTAAGTCAACAATCCAAACCACAAACATCACCCGGTCTCTTCTGATAGCTTCCTTGTGGTAATACTGATTACCAGTGTGTGTCAGATCCACTCAACCTTACCCTGCGGAAGGCGACAGAAGCACTATTGACCGTAGGTAATTGTTATTGTCTGTGTACAAGGAGCATAGATGTGCTGCGAGTTCCCAACCTAATGAGACTACTTACATCTTGTCGGATCCCTGACCTTTTTTTAAGTAAAATTACACAAACAACACGTAGGTGCGGGTAGGCGGCTTTAAAGGCATCCAATACGATTTCAGGACAGCAAATCTGGAAATATTCTGAATAAGGCAATCTTTGTGCTGTTGACACATACCGCTTCACATTAGCACATTTGAGTCAGCATTTCATACTTTGGGCACTTAAAACTGCAGAAACAAGACCCAAGACGAGTCCTTTCTTTTCTGGGTGGTACCTAAAAATCAGCCAAGAGCCCTTCCACTAACCATTTTCAGTCAGAATTTTGGGAATTTTTGCTCCATGAGGGTCAATATACATGGGGATAGTGTGGTTTTAACTCAGTGTGTATATAAAGGACTAGGATATTGGCTTTGAAAAATCGGGTTTCCAAGCCCTAAAAACTGCATTGGATGCAAGGCGTCCAGGTGGCAAAACGAATTTTCAAAGTGAGATTTCTGGTCATTCGTTTAATCCATTATGTTGAATCAACACCATCCCATATCACACGGAGATTTTGGAGGCAAAAAAATGCAAAGTAGTTGACGGAAAACGGTTGCTTGTTTCATATCTTAGGCTGGTTTTACCTATTTGTGCACAGTACCCCAAAATAAGGTGACTCTTCACAAAGCTTTTATTGGGCTATTTTAAACGATTTAAGTGTGAAATTATGATAAAAATGTGCTGACGAAATGGCAGTAAATGTCAATATGTCAAACAGATTTCCTTATTCAGAACATTTTTGTGTTGTTTTGGCGTCCTGCAATTGCATTGGAGTCCTTAAAGAGCATTGTGGCAAAACGCATACCAACCAGTTGTACCAACAGCTTGGGGTTCGAATCAAAACGGTTTGATCTGAAATAAAGCCTGCATTATATTTCCTATCATTGCTCGTTAACCTTTGTTACCAGTTGCCGTTTCATCGGACATGAAAGAACAAGCCTAAGGACGTTTTTTGATTGTGTCAAATAGAATATAATATGGCAAAACACATACCAATAAGTACCAATTAGTTGCACCAAACAGCTCGGAGTTTCAATCATATCAAAACAGTTTGATCTGCATTGAAGCCAATGTTACTTATTTGTTGCTTGTTACTGGCGAATCTAAGGTATGCTGACATTTGACCTTTCACAGGATGTTCTGTAGGGCAGTTTTGATTCTTACAAAGAGTGTCAAATAGAATATAATATGGCAAAACACACTAATAAGTAGCAATTAGTTGTGCCAAACAGCTCGGAGTTTCAATCACATCAAAACTGTTTGATCTGTATTGAAGCCAATGTTACGTATTTGTTGCTTATCACTGACGAATCTAAGGTATGCTAACATTTGCCCTTTCACAGGATGTTCTGTAGGGCAGTTTTGATTCCTACAAAGAGAACATAAGATGGCAAAACAAAGTACTTATTAGTACTTATCAGTCTTGACAGCTTGGGATTAGATATCGCTTAGCAACATCAAACAAACATCACATGAAAGACTCCCACCGGAGGTGAAGCTCCATTGATGTACACTGTCTTCTTAACTGCTTTGATCAGCATAATTGCACATCAGAGACAGTCGTTATGCTAATGTGTGTGCACAACATGGAATCAAAGTGTTCACGTCAAATCTCAGAATAACGAAGCGGGCAAATGGAGTGGAAAATATCGAATATCTGATTAAGGTAGATAGAAGAAAATGTGTAAAAATTTTCAAATAGCAACATGCTCTTTACCTCTTAAGGTAATGTAAAGAGCAATCGTATGACCCTCTTTATAAAGCTACATTCTTTTATTTGATGTTTACTTCGTTTGCGGATTTGCGCGTAACCTGGATGCTTTGGGTATTAATGCATAAAAAGGGCTCAACAAACAAACAAACAAACAAATAAACAAATTCTCAATTACAATATATCAGGACCAAACGTTCTTGTCTGATATCTGTATGAATTACAGTAAACATCAAAGTGAATAGCAAAACATTGATAATTTCCTTGTTTCTTAATTAAAAGAAACAATAATATTCTAAAGAAAAGACAGAATCTGAAATACTGAATCTAGAATGATATGAAGAAATACAACAGATAGCATCTCATTGTCAGTCTCTACCAGACTAACTACGCTGCCTATATATAGGACAATATTTGCCGGGGGAATTTGGCCGCCTTGTAGGTTTGACTTCGGAGGGAAAGAAACTACCTATCCACGGCCGGACTCTCCTGGCCCAGTTTATTCTCTTTTTTTGCCGAATTCTACTATCCGTATTCCTCTAGAAAGGCCTAGTTGAGGCTATATTATTGTAATAAAATATCTTTAGTGTATGTGTCTGGATGGAGCGGAGTTGCTCGAGTTTGTCCGCGGAGGTTAGAAAAGGGAAGCCCGGAGCTGGAGTGGCAATTAGGCACGACTGTGTACAGCACCACCTGATGCTTCCTTTGAGATGCCAGGAGAGGAGTTACAGGCGCGGGGACGCGTGAAACACGACCTTATCATGGCTCTCCGGTGAGTGAACACTGTCTGCCACCCGTCATTGTGCGTTCTTTTCAAGACAAGATGTGTGTGTGGTGGGGGGGGGGGCGTAATTTTAAAGGGTAGACGCAACAGTTGGTTCTGTATATCAAAACCTATGCAAGAGCAGACAGCAAATGGCACCATATCTACCTTTCAGAAGTTCTTCTGGTCACAAAAACTACTCACAAGCCTTTCTGGGAAATTTCATACGGCTAAACAAAAAGTTCAGCTGTTTTTGTAAACATGGGTGCTCTTTTCCCCTGTTCAAGGGCGATTCCAAGGGACCAGCAAGAGGAGTGCGCTTTTACAGATGTAACCTACAACATGGCCGCATGTAAAACATTACATTGAAAACAAACAAACAAACAAACAAACAAACAAACAAAACAAGCAGATGTGTGGCTCACTCGGAACTAGCGAAGGTGTTGACGTGACGTCAGGTAAATGCTTGCTTGCCGGGTTGTTACTCAGCAGCGACCCCTATCTGTTAACACGTGAACTGAATACCTATTCAATGCAAGGACCTGGTTCAGTTATATTACTAAATTTTGACTTGTGAGAGCTTGGCTCAGCTTGCTGTAACTTTTAGAGGATTAAGATAACAACAGTGGTGTGCTTTCTTGGAATTCAGTTCCAGGATATGAACATAAAATTTTTGCCAATCACACCATCTTTTGCAACAGTGCATAGAGACCATCAAGTGGCTCCACCTGGCGCCGATGGTACTTAACCTGAACCGTTAAGTACTTTATATATCCCGAAACAATTTGGACGAAAAATTAGACAGACAATAACACAATTGCATTTGTTCATTCTTTCTTAATTCAACTTTTAACTTCAGAAAGTGACAAGTCAAAGGAAATGTACATTTGACGACTTTTACTGGTAAAATTCAAGGAAAACATTTTTGTTTGTAGTTTAAGGAAATTGGAATGAATTTAAGAAGTTTGAATAGTCAACTCATTTATGATCTAAAGATGTTTAGGCGCCACACGCGGAGCCCACGTGACATCATGACCACGTGCAGAAGCGCCATCTACCCATTACTTCTTGTACTGCACGAGCATTTATGTGATAAATGTAAACATCATCCGTTGTGTCTTGAGAGTTTTAACCTTGAAGATTGACAACAAATATCCATTAAGTGATGCCCGTGCGCTAAAATTAGTTGAAATAGCAGTGAAAAATTAAATTGGTTGATTCTAATTGGCGCATGATAACATCTTTCATGCCATCGTTGCTAAACATCTCTAGCCAGGAGTTTTGTTTCGTTAGATTGTGAATGAATCTGTAACCACGAGGCATTACGTGGCATTAACCAGACGACGCAGTGTCGGCCCGCCGTGCCGGTATCTGTGGCCACCATCTATAGGATCCTAACTCAGCAATCCTTCAACATGCAACACGGAATACCGGGGATGTAGCCTGGTAACCGCTCTCTACTGGCCGGATACTAGGGGTGTTTTTTTACC